AGTCTATAGTTCTATAAAGTATCTTACCTTACAAGTAAGCAGTAACAGTCTATAGTTCTATAAAGTATCTTACCTTACAAGTAAGTAGTAACAGTCTATAGTTCTATAAAGTATCTTCACTCCCAAGTAAACAGTAACAGTCTAGAGTTCTATAAAGTATCTTACCTTACAAGTAAGTAGTAACAGTCTATAGTTCTATAAAGTATCTTACCTTACAAGTAAGCAGTAACAGTCTATAGTTCTATAAAGTATCTTCACTCCCAAGTAAACAGTAACAGTCTATAGTTCTATAAAGTATCTTACCTTACAAGTAAGCAGTAACAGTCTATTGTTCTATAAAGTATCTTACCTTACAAGTAAACAGTAACAGTCTATAGTTCTATAAAGTATCTTCACTCCCAAGTAAACATGTTAAGACTAAATTATGCCGTTATGTATTCTTCATTTCAAAAGTTCCGCCATATATTTAAAGTAGTTCAGATTATGTGAAACATCGGATCATGACAACGTAGGAGATATTTCGAATTACTACAGTCATTATTCCCGTTTGTGACGAAATGTAAAAGTCGTTGTTGATATATATAGTTTTCGCATCTTTATGTATATCATTTTGTGAAAAGAAGAAACACTTTACTCACTCGAGTTGTTTTAAAAGGCAATACAATTATGTGTGTTATGAGGTGATCTTTTTAGCAGAAGTGATCATTAATCCTGTTTAAGATCAATTATATAACAACCTATTCCTATCTAATCTAGTTCGTGTTTGTCATGCTTTAACGAAATCCACTTTGAAAAACCTATTCCTTTTCCCATCCAGTTCGTGTTTGTTTAACGAAGATATACTTTTATGTTGCTCTATGAATATCTCAAAACAATATGACAACAGTATAGAAGGAATGTTTTTTATTTCTGAATCCCTAGTGGGTAGGTCCTCAGTTCGTTCACGCCATCAGACCATCCCTAGAAGCTCATTGGAGGAAAGAAATAGAAGCCTGGTATCAACTTTTTCTATATATAGCATGGGTAATGAAAGCCACCATGATAGAACAACAGCTCGAGTCTAAAAGATCACCTCCCTGAAATGTTCATCTATAAAAGGCCTAAGTAATGATGGTTATACAACAGGCTACCAAAAGAATTAGTTAATCTTAACACACAGCGTTACAGGAAAACATCATCTACAATTAGAAAGTGAGTGACTTTTATTAGGTGTTTTAGCCACTCATTATCTAGTGAGGTTTTCTGGTACTTGAATTTCCTGCTATTTGTAAACTTTACCGTTATCACATAACCTTAGAAAAGTGTTCTTTTAACTTCCAGGAAGCTAAAGCTTTGAGTTCAGAAAATGTTCTTTACATTTCACGAGAGTATCCTTTTAAATTGTGGAGCTTTTTTCAAAGGAAACTGTTTTTTAATTCAAGTTTTTGAGTTCAGATGTTCTTTAACTTCAAAAACGTTTTTCGACTTCGAATAATTATTCTTTCAACTTCAGGAACTATCACTTCAACTTTGTGGCATTTAGTGTCATGGTTTCCAACCAGTAAAATAGATGGTTGCGAGGGAATATTTAGTACGGTCTATATTATGTCGCGTTCGGCAAATAAAACTCGTGTATGTACGATGTATAAATTTTATGAAATAATGCTTAAGTACGGTGACTTTACTTTTATGCACAAACTTTTCGGTTATGACCACCATTTGTCGTCTGTAATCTAGCATCAATATATTCCCATGTATTAACCCTATATGAAAGCAACGTGTACTTTCGGTTATCTTAGGGGCCGTTTACAAATTACGCTACTTTTACAAGAGTACCAATTCACTCTTTTCTCTTGACCCTACCCTTATCTTATCTGAAGACGAACACATAAATAATATGGCAAAGTTTTTACACAGAGATATTATTTTGCAAGTTACTCACTAACAACCAAAAAAAAAGTCCGATGTACATTTCCTATCCGCAAGAAATTAGCAATAATTTGACCGACCTTTTACACACAAGAAACTTGTGAGAAACGTGTCAATAACAAAATAAAGGCCCAACCTATCAACATGTTTCTTTACTTGAATTGACAATTACACCAGTATCACACCTAATGATAAATACGTCGATAGTTTAGATGACAATTCCAAAGTGATCAAATTAAGATTGGCAAACCATAGTTATTTTTGCTGCCAACTGTACTTATTATTGTTAACAAGTTAATGTTAACTTTACAATAAGAGTATGGCAGACAATATGCAGATACTATTGTATTTAAGACTCGTCATTTACAATTATAAAAAAAAAAAAAAAAGCTCGATAACCTTGCACATCGTTGATTCTCTTTAATAAATTAATAATTAACGTTTTTTTTTCGGCTTACTTTTGGTATAAATAACATACCTAATTTTCTGAAAGTACCAAAGATGCCATCACATTACGGAATTTTTACAAATTTCAGTCTTCAAAAGACCCAGAAACGCGAGTGCTTTCAAATAGTTGGTTATTTCTTTTAAGGAATAAAAAAAAAAGGCAAATACTCAAAAGAATAGTGTTTGGATATTTTGAGCTGTACTTGATGTTGGTAGTGATCCTTTGTGGTTATTATTTTATCATAATTAACGTTATTATATAATACTATTGAAATGATTAATGCACTCGTTTACACACTTCACAGATAACCAAGAACGCTTGTGCTGCTATCTATCGTCACGTATGAAAAGTACTGCTTACTAGTTTTAACATAAGAATTGCTCGTTGATTATGCTAGTAGTAATTCCTCCACAGTTATGGTGTAGAATGCTGTTTGTTCATTTAGTCGTGTTTATTTTCTGTACTATAACCTACAAATGGAGTTAGGTAATCAAACGTTCTTTCTATGACCAAATGGTTATATTCAATTACCCACACTGTCTATTAAAATGAAAAAAAGAAAAAGATGCTAACACTAACTTTAACATCAGACACTGTAAAAACGATTAGTAAATTTTTTCTTATGTATTTCTTCTCTACAAACACAATAATTTGGCGCTTATCAAATATTATGCATTTGGTTTGTTCGTTTTGAGTGCTGTGTAATATTAACACACCAAGAATGTTCAAACTTGTTTACCTTGTTCTGTAATATTCACTAATTAAAAGTTATGTCATTTTACTCCAATTTGCAAAAGGCTTATCAGTACAATCACCAAACTTGGCAAATGAAATTTGCTGACATTTTGGAAACATGATGAAAGTCGAAAGTTATTTCATCTCAACTGAAATAAAGAAGTTACAAGTAAGAGCAAAGATGTGACATCCTAAACATTTGAAATTTCAAATATGGCATAGTTGTTTCTTGACTTTTGTTTTCACCTATTCCATTATATTATTGCTATTTTACCAACATGAAAATTATCAAATAGTCACGGCACTAGTGTCTAATCAGAATAAAACTATTGAGTCTATTCATACAGGACTTCACCACTTGTTACAAGGAGAAGTTTAAATAATTATGAACAACAACATACCCTACAACATTCACAACCTTGTAAGTGATATCAGAGATCACTGTTATTTACAATAACAACAATTATGTTCTCAATTTGTTTGTTTTCTTTACACTTAATTTAAACAAAAACTTTCTTTTCTTTGGGGTAATAATAAATAAAACTTGTAAAGTTCAGTGTTTGACAAAAAAATCCCTAAATTCTGGTTTAGAAATGGATTTTTCATTCCTAAATTCACATTTCTCAATTCTTGAGTATGGGCTTCCTGTTGTCCTCAACCATTCTTTCCTGGAAAATAAAAAGGAAAACATATTTAAACAGGTATAAAGTATTTTCAGAGGATCTAAGATTACCACGTGAGTATCAAGACAATTTTTCAAACAGAATTTTAGGTGATTCCACTTGAATAACAAATTATTCATTATATGTCCAAACTGGTCTATTTTTAACTAGTGTTATTGACTAATCATTGATAATCATGTGACATGAGGTACAGCCAGTACATAATTTATCTGCACATTATAAAAATGTTTTTATTTATTTATTTTTTCCATTATAACCTTAATCCCAACTAGTTTGGGGTTGGTCGGTATTTTTACACCAGGGTGGCTGGCCCAGTCAGGAACCATATAGGACAAGCATGTTTGGCAATGGGTATTCGAACTTTGAATAAATTCACGGACAGTATATAAGGTTGAATCACTGAATGTGGTACGTCTTCCTCGATTCCTGTAACTGACAAAATTGTAATTACAGCAATGTATGACTCCTTGAATGAAAGCTAAATTTTGTATGTATAACAGAAGTTGAAATTGAAGCCAACATTCAGGAAGATTTAGTACAATGTAATATTTCCAAAATAATTTAATAACATTTTTTTGTCTGCAAGTCTAAACAAAACGAAATCTTCAATGCAGTCCTTTTTTTGTACAATATAGCTAAAAACTGAAACATGTTCTTAACTTACCTATAAATGTTTACCCATTTTATTGCAGATTTAAAAAACAACAACAACATAAAATGTGCATCAATTTTAAACAGAAAACTTGTGCATTACAATAAAAGAACCTTCTAAAATTATATCTCAAAGGTAATTTTTAAACAGAGAGTCTTATGTCACTTACATTATCACAATCTTGTCATTTTCACCCTGGATTGTTCCAACAACCGTATCTCTGTGTGTGTTCATAACCCAACCTTTCAATCCCAGCTCTTTCGCTTTATCCTTCGTAAACTAAAACAATAACTTTAAACAGACACTATTGGTGGTCGAAATAAAGTTGAAACAGATGTAAGGTGTGTTATATAAACACATCACGCTACACATAGAAAATGTAAAATTTTAAATAATATACTAAGATATATTTAAGCACTTGTATTTCAATAATGAATCACTTTAATAAAAAAAGAGATGACAACACTGTCCTTAAGGTGAGCTTATACAGTGTTTACATACATCTACTGACAAACCTTCGGGGCAGGATAAGCAGGCTGAGAAACTAACCTATCAACTCTTGTTTTTATATATCAATATAACAATACTAATTAACATAATTCATAGATTATACAGAAGTATATACTCTAATTTAAACTACTTTTACTAAATGTTATCATTTTTATTTTACTTTCTAAGTTTGTTTCTAATAATGGCACTGCCTCTGTCCTATATATAAAATATAATGTTTATTTATTTTAATTATACAGATGAGGTAGGTTAGCACATATTTGTGTTTCTGATAAAGGCACTGCCTCTGTCCCATATATAAAATATAATGTTTATTTATTTTAATTATACAAATGAGGTAGGTTAGCACATAGTTTTGTTTCTAATAATGGCACTGCCTCTGTCCCATATATAAAATATAATGTTTATTTATTTTAATTATACAAATGAGGTAGGTTAGCACATAGTTTTGTTTCTAATAATGGCACTGCCTCTGTCCCATATATAAAATATAATGTTTATTTATTTTAATTATACAAATGAGGTAGGTT